TTTAGGATTCGTTTTTTTTCAGAAAAAAATACATGTCGACCTTCCCCTGGGTGTAAAGACCATTTCTGGAAAGTTTCATAGCATTTGCTCGTACGGTCTTCAAATGCATAGCGAACAGACAAACAAACAGACAAACAAACAGACAAACATTCTTCTTTATATATATAGAAGATAGATAGAAGATGATAGAGAATTTCATGCGCTTTCAGAATATATACTTACTTTTGTAATAACTTGTTCCTATATTAAAAATATATTTGAAAAATAAATGAAAATAAACAAAAAAAAACATTTTTCCGTGGAATATGAAGATCAGGGTGTCTTTACTGGGCTTGAATTTATTTTTAGCAAACAATTGCAATTCAAAACGTACATATATAGATTTGTAGAGAATTCCACGGGCTATCCGAATATTTAGTTACGTTTCTCAAAATGTTAATTTATAATGATGATGTATCAAGAATATCGTGTGACACTATTTTTTTTCCAGGGGGATATATTCCTCAACAAGAAGTATTTTCTTGATTTTATTAAAAACTCTGTTACTCATCGATATATTACTCATGTCTATCACAATCTTTCATTGTTCTCTGCTTTCTAGTAAGCAACAATCATGAAAAGAAAAGAATGAATAAATATATATATGAAGTTGTCAATTATAATAGGTAGTTTCTACTTTAAGAAAATTATTCATAGTTATCAAACTACAGTATAATAATTAGTTAATATCAAAAAATAGGTTTGAAATTATCATTGTTGTTTTCAAAACAAAAAGACTAACATACAAGAATCAAGCAGCCGATTATTCAGCAAGAATGGCACAGATGAAAACGATAAATATAACAGTCATTAAATAAATCAGATATTTCTTCTTTTTTGCATGAAATGTACAATGCTCGACGAAATGCTTAAGTCATTTATTTAACATTATCATCAATACGAAATGAAAAATCAAAACATTTCCTGAAACTTGATCCAAATCGCTGCAAATATCAAGATGGATGATATCGAGTTTTAACATTTTTTGTTAATTATTCTAATCAATATTATGATGATAAGATGGCGATAGTCTCATGACAATCGATGAACTAATGTGGTATCTTTTGTATTAAATATTTATTTTGAAAATATTTTATCAGTTTAAGTGTATATTTAATTTTTTTTAAAATACTTTTTTTATATGAATAAAAGAATTATTTTATTTAAATTGAAGTTGAACTCAATTAACAATCGAAATCTAGCACTATAATATAAATGAAAATACTCTCTTTTTCGAATAATATTTTATCTCAATCGTTCAAGATACTTTTAAGAATCGTGTATGATTCAATAGTATCTTCTAATGTTTAGATTTAGCAAAAGATAATCACCGCCTCTATGTGATGAATTAAGCAATTTATTTGAAATATATTGATGAATTGTTATTTAAAAGAATTTCATAATTGGGTTATGGAGTAAAATAATATCGTAAACTGTAAATTATTTGGTCAATGAGATGAAATAAATAATTTCCGAACGGCATAATTATTTTACGCTTTTTTGGATAAAATAAAAAAAACTTGTCAGTTCGACTTCTTTTGGGGCCAAAATGTAGAACTTACAAACTTTGGCTCTTTTACATTTTAGATATATTGTCAGAACGTTCAAAATAATTTATTTTTAAAAAATGTCAAATAAATGAATAATTCAAAATCGTAACAGTTTTTATTATTGATAGGCACGCTCTGACATTTTTATGATTTCGAAATATTTCACATTTATAATTACTTGTCTACCAATTTATTGGATTCATTTAATATAGGTATACTTTAAAAACTTGTATTGCTAAATACCGTCTTCAATCCATAGCTTCTTTTCTCGTAATGATAGCATATATACGATACATGCCATAGAAAGCGATAAATATGATTTCTCTCTTTGTTTCGTCGATTCAAGTAATATAGTAGCCTGCTATGCACATTAACTTTATCATTCGGTAAGCTACTCCACACGCTATCCTTTCTCTCGACGATTTTTGATATGTACTGCTGAATTTTGCCTAAAATTAGAATTCAATTAGTTCGGATTTTTCTAGGTTCGTTCTATTCCGACTCTGTGAGATCAAAACGACCACCATCCTATTGATTAGCCTCTTCAATAAGATCCTTTCGCTGCATGAAAAACAAAAAAACTGCAATGGGGGAGATGTAATGGAAAGTTTATTGCTAGGTGTTTGTAATGGAGAAGGCGTGGAGCAGCGGCAAAACCTCGATTTAAAACTTTTAATTTGTGACTTGAGATATTTCTATGTTGTAGATCTTTGTCAATGCTATTATGTTAGATGTTTCTCAAATAAAACTTTCTTATCAAGAAATGTTATCTGACAAAGAAGTCTTGATATAAGCAAAAATATGGTCAATTTTGAAATCATCTATAATCGTTAAGTTTTCTTCTATATCAAAATTCAAACCGAAATTATTTTTTGTTGGACTGAATATAAAGTCAATTAATACGATCATCAAACAAAACACTCATATAGATCTATAAACTAAAGTTTTGTACATTCAGTTTTTCTTTATATATTTTCTTACGGCTTCTCGAATCACATAATACTGATATCGAATTAATCGATAGAACATTTCTGCTACTTCCAACAAAGATAAAAAACTGATACCAATCCAAAGACCTGTCTTACTGTCAAGATCTAATAGAGCCATGATAGGTCCTATCGCTGGTGTTTGTGTATAATTTTCGACCAAAATCGATTCGACTACTAATTCGATGGAGAGATAATTAGACTTAATATGTGAATACTAATTAGTCAACCAATCTGTAGGCAATGGAATTTCGAAGTTTTCGACAAAAATTTTATATCATTCTTTAACCAATATACTGGTGCTTTCCACATTGATGATTTGACAACAAAATCTGTAATTTAACATTGTTGTGAACAATACAAGCAATATTTTACCAGTAAAATTGATGAATTCATCAGGACAATGGCCGTTTAAGTATATCATGTATCAGATATGTGACATAATGGAGCTACGATTATTGTTTCATTTTGTGGTAGAAGAATTGAGCGAGCATTCCATTGTTTTGGATCAATACAACCGCACGTGTAATACCTGTAATCGAATCAGCAAATTAAATCATTTATTCGTATGGATATTAATATATTTACGTGTAAACTTTTGGGCACAAATCATAAGATATATCTTCTAGGTAAACATATTCGACGTCAGGATATTTATTAAACATAGTTTGCATGATTGGTGATATTTCATCATTACATGCTGTATAAGGTGAGCGCAAATAGAAAATAGTCTTTTTTGAATATGTCATTCGATGTTTGAAACCTGTGGTCAATGCTCTACCAGCAAATTCAATCATAGGAAATTGTGTATTATCATGTACCATCCCTATCCTGTCAATATCTGAGATCAAATTGGTAATTAAGTTTGAAACTTCTCAAAGATTATTATACTAACCTTCTCCAATATAGGGTTCATATTGATGAGTATGCACATCAAAACTTAGTTCGAGTTTACCAGATCCACCATATTCATTGAATGTCTAGAGAAGCCCACATGAAGATGAAGAAAACAAAGTAAAATCGAATGCTAAACAAACCTTCTCATTAAAGACGCATTTAATAAGCATTGAACTCAGTGGAAAAAGGATGCGTATTTAACGATTCATGTTGATTGATTTTCATTCAAAAAAAAAGCTCATTAGCAGATTTGGCTTGTTGTAATGAAAACGATGTCGTGTCATTTGTGTTGGTGATATTCAACGCATTTGTATAGTTCAGAAAAAGTATGATGAATTGATCATAACGAATGCGTGCTACATTACAAATAGTAAATGCTAGAAAATTTTTTGGTTATTCGCTCACTATATTTATTGATGTCTGTATAGAATATTGATAATATTCGCCAATCGTTTGAATGGCAAAGTACAATATAATGCCACTGAAAATAACGAACGAAATCGACCAAAGCAAATGCTATATTTTTATACTTTAACTCCGTACAATGCCTGAAATCCTATGCGGTGATGTGTGGAGAATGAATTCGTGTATAATTGTCCGCCATTCATGTCGTTTTCGATCGGGTTCAGTTGTTGTTTTATCAATCGGAAAAACGATAGCTACGCGCATACATTTGTGTATAGTTTTTTCTCAAATCATAAACAATCGACTACTAAAAAATAGGAGAAAAAATGTTTGAGCATATATATTTGGATCTCATTTTTTTTTCTTCTTGTTAATGTGAAGCACTAAGAAATGAGATAAAGTTGAATAGATCGTTGTCTGTTACTCCATATACAAATATGTCGAATTATGATGGCGTTCCAAGAGTATCATCATTTAAGTTACTGAAGAAATTTTCTTAAGATGATAAAGTACAAAATAATTTCTTTTACGCAATTATTTCAACACTGGCTTTCGTGCCTCGAAGAGTAGCTACAAAAAAGCTAAGCTGCCTATATTTGTTGACTCTCTCCATTGTTTTTCATAATAAGACTTGAGTAAATGCCACCTCAAAGGAGCAAGCTCTGTTTATATAACTGATTCTATTATGTGCAAATGAGAACTAATGAAAACTCAACACACGAAAGTTTTCATCGAATTCTATATATTTTATGAAGAAGATTTAATAGTGTAAAAGCTTTAGGTTTATATTGAATGATAGAGCTTTTCAAAGTCTACGAAGCTACAATTTGTGTTATAATATATCATGATCGTGTAATCAAATAAACTGAAAATATTGTTGTTTTATAGTTGCATTTTTCTATTATGTACAGTTGTCCTAGAATTTTATTATTTTTAGAAACAAATTCTTTTCTGAAATATTTTCAAGGAGAACTCACTGTGGAGTTTGATGGAACAATACCAGGAACATTAAACTCAATCAACATAACAACAAAAACAGATACCGTACGGTAGATGTTATCTACCATGCGTATTAAACTTTCTAAAAAATTTTATTCTACTTCATTTTTTTTGCATTGATTCATTCTTGATATTGAAATCTAAAAAATTCAAATACGAATTATTTTCAGACCAACAACCTGTGAACATGAATACTCGTAAATTCTGATGACATAACACAAGAAGTATTTCTTTGCTATATCGATAACAACGTACTATTTCACGATAGCTTAAAACTATCAAATAGATCACATTTGACGCAAATACATAGCCAAGTCATCGTTTTTTCTTGGTACTACTTTTTCTAAAAGGGTTCAGTAGATTATCCTATTTGAAAACTGTAGAGAGAGCATTATGTTTTCACTGCACTAAATAACTGTACTTATTTTTAGTTTTTGCTTGATGGGAATAGTAATTTTTTCCTTTAAAAGGAAAGGTACCAGCCAGTTATTTCTTTCATAGAGGTTTTTTAAATTCTATTTCGAGGTATTTTAGTTCTTTGTTTTCTCTATCGCTGAAGAATTTTTCATAAGTTCCTTAAAAGACTCTTTGCAACTCTTTTACTTTAATTCTGAAAATATTAGAAATGTCGAAACGAAACAATATTGAAAAAAAACAATGTCTCTAAGTAAATATTGAATCTAACTGCCCATAGTTTAGTATCCATTTTTCGGTATTTTTTCACTTCGATATTATTTCTTTTAACATTTTTTACTTAGAAGTTTTACCATCGATCAACTAACAGCACCGATTATTCAAGGAAATTTTCTTTTTGGTCAAATGATTTTCTGTCCTAATCCAATATTTTTTTCTGTAAAATCTTTTTAAAAAATATCGAATTTTTATGATAAATCTGATGATGTATCTTTTGAAGAAAACATTACGATCCAGAGTTAAAAAGAAAAAAAAACAAAAAATAGAAACATATTCGAATTAAACTGAAATCTTTAGGAAAATCAATACGAAGAAAAGATTGATGAGACGCTCCGGCATGGAGATTCAGTGGACTTCAAGACTTCATGAGACGTTGAGTTCAAAGTCTTCACTGTTGCTACTCAATATGTGACATATTCTCTGCCTCTCTCAATAATATATCACTTGAACGTATTTAGCGCGAGCATATGTGTAACAGAAAATTTGAGTCTGTTTTTTCTCAATTTCTGTTTGAAAATCGGAGCAGTATCTTTGCTAACTCTGAGATACAAGCAACAAAATTCACTTCAGTATAAAGCTTATGCTCTTCATGTCTTGCATTTTTCGAAACGGTACAGATTTCTTGACATGAAAAGTCGATTAGTTCGACTTTTGCTTGTATTTCCTTTTAGAAAAGGAGTTAGTTTCTGTTGATTTATTCTAAGAGGGCCACTTTGAGAAGGAATATATACGTGTTCAAGTATTTTTCACAACTACTTCTGTTTCCATCATCTAAGTAGAATTTTCTAGTTTTATGTAGTATTCGGAACTATCGAACAGGTTGTTAATATTTTGCACGCTTTCAGAAAATTCATGGATATAATGCTACCACTACTTTAACGCATGTTTACTGCTGGGATTTTATGATCAGCATCAGTGACAAATAAATGTAGACGTGTTTATTTATTAGTCTTTTAAATATCATGATTCATTAATTAAGATGATAACTGACTTTGGAAAACTCGAGGTCAAAAACAATATAAAATATTCCTAGTTCAAAGGTTGTATAATTGATTTAGCCAAGATCACAGATTACTGGACACAGTTCAGATCAAGTTATTAAGATAGTGTGCCGATATTGATGGCACGCTTCGATGATTCTCCTTCTTCCTCCTTCTGTTCTCTTTCCATTGTTCTAATATATCTCTCTCCTGTCTCTCTTCTATCTCTCTCCTATATATACGTGTGTTATGTGTGAAATTGTTACACTCTGGATATGTGAAGAAGCGAATAAACATCATTGCCGAGAGTGGCGGTAAGATACTCCACCTCTATTCAGTTTGTCATTACGTATCAACCCAGTCAGGGCCGTATTGGTCGTTATAGATAGGATTTGATTGAAAATAGTAGCTTACTTCTTTAAGTATATCAGCATCAGTTATGTAAATTCAGATACTAATACCTTCATGTATCGATAATAACAAACATTTCTTTTAATCACGCTCAAGCTTTAATTTATATTGTGTTTCTTCCCTGGAACTAAATGCATTTTCGCAATTTGTAATTGTTCTTCTGTATCACTAAATAGTTCTCCAAATATCATCGAACTGTTTCATCAGTAAAATAGTGGATATATATATATATTCTTCTGTTCTTCCGAGACATTTATTCTAAGGAATCTATTCAGTGATTGTACTAATGAATAGAAATTCATATGTACATATACTCACTTTACATTGAATTTGTCGAGATGTATATACGTATGTTACAATTATTTTCGTATATGTCAAACTTGAAACTTGAATTCAAGTACTCAACTATTCAAGTATTCAATTTTTCACTTGTCACGTGTTCTGCAGATAGTCAGTGGAGAAGTGCTTTTCATCACCTAACACACCTTTGATTTCAGTGTCGCGGCGTGGGGGTGCGAAGCACCCTCCGAAGAGCCGCGACCCATGCACGTATTTGTGTACACCATCATTCCTACTCAGTGCTGCACGGTAGCTCAAGCTTCTCATATACTTCTTGTAGCATCCTAAGTGATGGTTGTAGCATCCTAAGCAATACTTATAGCATCCCAGGTGATGCTTGAAACATCCTACGTAATATTGACAGAATTATAGAGAATCCTGTGGCATGTCAGATGATGCTAGTAGCATTCCAGACAATACCTGCCAATGTTAGGTGATACTGGTAGCATTCCAGGCGTTGACAAATTGAAAACTGGAATAGTTGAGTAGTTGAACTGATAGTTGAATACTTGAATTCAACTTTCAAGTTTGACACTACTGACAATATACGTATTTACTTTGTTTCTTTTTGAATTTTCAACCAATATCGCGTTGTTCTCACAATGCTCTCGTAGAACATAAATAATTAATTAAATTTGTTTGCCATCAGCATTGGTTTTTCATCATCTTTAATGCTACAATAGTTTGCATCAGAAACAAAAAAGAAACAGTCAAACATGAGGTAATGAATAACTTTTGTTGATCAACATTGTACTTCATTAACAGCAATGAACAAGGTTGTTATTTTGGGGTCATCGTCAGTGAGGTAGTAATGTTTTCTTTTGCAAGTTAGTTATCAACTTCAGGATGGTGTAACAATATTTTTGTCTATATCTGACAATAAAACTTTACAAACATATGTTGAATACAAATGATGTTGCCGCTTGGTAGGCTTATGTAAGGCATCATAAATGGGGAAAAAAACTAATAAAAATTAAATTTTTATTTTTTTTTTGCTATTCAACATATGTTGCAAGTAAAAATTCGAGTCATACTCTATGTATCGAGAGTTTGCAGCTACAAAAAATAAGTCATTTTTTTTGCAAATGAATGCTTTCGTA